ATGGGGGTGGGGGGGGGGAGGGGGCTGGAATCTAAATTTCCTAAGCCTGATTACCTTCTTGATCTGGTGGGCTTTTTAAAAAATTTCTGCTCTTATTCCCAGAGTTATAGTACACCTAGGGTAAGGCCCACATATTTGTACTTATTTTAAAACCTCAGGTCATTTTGTTTGTTTTTTCATGTTTATGAACTACTGAGATAGATGATCAGAAAGACTAACATTCAGGGTGATTACTTAGGAAAAAGTTTGACATATGAGATGTGAGCTTAGCTGGCAACAGCAGTTTTGTTGTGTTTTGTGTTCATGTTTGAATTTCTTCTTATATCCCATTCCATTCTAGGTTCAATGTGTGTCTTGAAACACATCCTCTTTAGTAGCCATTTCAGCACAGCCCTGTAAATAGTAACCTCTCAGACTTTTACCTTAACATTTTTCTGTCTGTTTTTGTTCTGTGGTCTAATCAGCTATGTGTAGGTATGGATCACTGGTTCTCAACTCTGGATGCTGATTAAAATAACTTGGGAAGCTTTGAAAAAAGTACAGATGATTTGACCTACTTCACACCAACTCCAGAATTTCTAGGGGTGTAGGGCTAGGCACTGTTTGTTTTTAAAGCTTCTTAGGTGATACTCCATCTAAGGTGCAGCCAGGGTTCAGGACTGTTGCTCGTGTTTTCATTTATCCTGCTTAGGAGTTACCCAGTTCTTCACAAAATTGCCTCCTCTGGAACTACAGTTAGACATGTATAGGACTACCTTATTTTGTCCTGCATTTGCCTTAACCTCTCTTTCATATTTTGTCATCTGTTTCTACTTAATGTTTTGTATTTTGGATAATTTCCTTAAAATGGATTTCTTTTTTTTTTAAAGATGACCGGTAAGGGGATCTTAACCCTTGACTTGGTGTTGTCAGCACCACGCTCAGCCAGTGAGCTAACCGGCCATCCCTATGTGGGATCCGAACCCTTGGCCTTGGTGTTATCAGCACCGCACTCTCCCGAGTGAGACACAGGGCCGGCCCTAAAATGGATTTCTGATTCACTCATTGTTCGTTCAGCTTTGTCTAATTCGGTGTTTAATTCTTCCGTCGAGTATTTGATTTCAGGGCTTCTATTTTTCATTTCTCTATGTTTTATTTGATTAATTTTTTTTTTCGTGTCCGGCAACGGATCGCAACCCTCAGTGTCACGCCTGTACCGGACCAGGACTGGCAACGGGATCGCAACCCTCGGTGCTGCGCCCTCACCTCGCTCAGCCAGTGAGCGGGAACCGGTCTGCATGTGGGATCCGAACCCTCGGCGGGAGCGCTGCCACACTCCCAAGCAGCGCACTGTAGCAGTGCGCCGCCGGGCCAGCCCTATTTGATTAATTTTTGAAGTCTACTGACGTGTTATTTTTTTCTTTTTTAAATTAACAGTACCGGTTTTTTTCTTACGGTTTTTATTCTTTTTTTCCTAATTCTTTAATCATTTAAAACAAACTTTTTATTGCTTCAGATTTGACAATTATATGGAGTTCCCAGGCGTGCTAATATTCCTGTTTTTTGTATTTGCTAATATTTGCTTATGGTCTATTGTTTATCTTTGTATGATTCTTAGTTTTTAGTTGTGAGATGATCTTCAGCTGAATTGTTTTTTCTTCTGTGAGAGTCTCCAGGGTAGTTTTGTGTTTTGCTCTGCTAGTAGGCTTTCTACTGTATCACTAGCCCCTAACATGTTCTAATGTACTCATATGGGTTAATTTATTGCCTTAGGGATTCTTATAACAGAAGGAGAAAATTCAGAATCCAAACATTCACATTTCCCAATCAAATTACCTGAACGGAGATAAGCTCCCTTGTTAAATACCTCTGGTAGATGGAAATTTGTTAATTTTAGTTCAACTTTCACTGAGGGAACAGCTTGCTGAGGGAACAACTTTCACTGAGGGAACAGCTTCCTCATTTTTATGCAGGCGTTGTCTTTAAGGAAGATTCCAGCTTTTTTGACTGCCACAGACCCAAAGTTTTAAAACCTGAAGCTCTTGTTTTCCCTTATCCTTGGTTATTTCATTGTTGGCTCTTGTTCCTAAACACTGTAGCTTTCAGTTGCCTAGTAGCTATTGACACCTGGAAATTTCACTTTTCTTTTTTGAGGTCATGTATACATTTAAAATAATTTTGTAATATCCGATATTTGCAATTCTCTAAAAGCTTCAGAAGCTGAAGATTTTGGTACTCCATTCATTGACTACTTTATATAAAGGTTTCTAATTTACTTTGAACAAATTGCAACATAAAGGTTTTAGGGCTCCTTTACAAAAGTTTTTAATACCTTTGTAAGATACTTAAGTAGTTCCTTTTTTTTTTTTTCCTTTTTGTCTTTTTTACTGACCGGCAACGGGATCGCAACCCTCAGTGTTGCGTCCGGACCGCGCTCAGCCAGTGAGCGGGAACCGGTCTCCACATGGGATCCGAACCCTCGGTGGGAGCGCCGCCACACTCCCAAGCGGCGCACTCTCCAGTGCGCCACCGGGCCGGCCCAAGTAGTTCCTTTTTTAAAAAACAATCTCATTGATGATGGGTAGCTAAATGAGAACCATGTATGCTATTGTGCGAAAGGATCTTTTTTTGTATTCAGTATGATCTTCGTCAGAAATTTTGTAGTTCATCTAAATGTTGATCTAAAAACATTTGTAAAATTTGACAACTGTAGTTTCTGTCTCTATTGGTAGGATATTGGTTGTTTGGAAACAGGAATTAGGTATACACCAAAACTACTGCAAGTACATATCTGCCCCATAAGCTTTTCAGTAAGAACAGTGTTTCTGTCATGACTCTGTGTTGCATCAAAATTTATGTTTGTATTATCTCCTCAAAAAAGGTTTTCTCTTTAAAAAGAGAACTTTTGAAACTGAGTTATTATTAGTGTCAGATATTTCATTTTAGATAGAATGGCACTCCCAGAAGCTTTATTTTGATTCCATGGAGAGGATTCAAAATTAAACCAGTGTTAGATAATAATAGATTTTCTAATGTTAGCAGATGATGGTAAAACTGATAATTTAACTGTTTAC